AAAAAAAAAAATTATGGTGCAACAGTTTCTGCAAACGATTGTGGGTAGTTCATAGGCACATCATGTGACATTTAATTAAGTGACTAGTCAATGTAATGTACAGCACTCCACATCGGTCACTTGTTTAGGTTCCATTTCAGTTAGGGTGTCACCTTAGAAGGGAGCTGCCTATGTAGGCAGTAAACACAAGCAACTTAGATTTTGGAATAGAGTAAAAATTATGCACAATTAGCCAAAAGTAGACGGCAAAAAAATGTCATGTTTGTTCTGGTCTTATAGGCATTGGATGGCCATAAGTCTGATGACTCCAGCTCTAGAAGAGACTCCTCCACTGAGATCTTCAGTGACTCCACCAAGGAGGGTTGGCTGCATTTCCGACAGCTCAACACGGAGAAGGGCAAGGTGGGAAAACTGATGTCTCAGAAGATCTCTCTTCACTACTCGTTTCCCATAGTTTTACTATCATACTATACTTTAAATGCGTTCTTCTGTTTACAGCGAGTAGGAGGCGGTATGCGGCCGTGGAAACAGATGTACGCAGTGCTGCGGGGACACTCCCTCTACCTCTATAAGGACAAAAAGGAGGGGCTTGCTCACGTCAACTCGCAACTGGAGGACGAGCCTCAATCAATCAGCATCAAGGCCTGCTTGATTGACATCTCTTATAGTGACACAAAGCGCAAGAATGTCCTGCGGCTAACGACTTCAGACTGCGAGTATCTGTTTCAGGCAGAGGGTCGAGAAGACATGCTGTCCTGGATAAGAGTCATTCAAGAAAACAGCAACCTGGACGAGGAGGTTTGTTGACAATGATAGTGTTTTAATGTGATCGCTAAGGTATTTGTACAGTTGTGTGATATAAATAAGTAGCATAGTCCGCATGTAAAGCCAGATTTGTCTAATTGTGCATACTCTGTATGCTCAACTTAGACTAATTAGTTTGTCCACAAGGTGCAAACACTGCCAAGTCCGGTGTTTCACAGTCAAAAGAAACAGATGAGGTGGAAAATAAACCACTAGAGCGTCAACAATAATAGATACCTGCTTTGGTGAATGCTCGTGTGAGGGGTTTAAGAGATAACCACAACTCTAGTTTAAATGAGTACAAAGACGTTTTATCAGTCATGACTTCTGGAGAGAAATTCCGGAGACCCTAAACAAGGATGACACTTTCTAGTGCGGATGTTTACACACACTATCAAATGGAGTATCCTCTGCATTCGGCTGTACACATGCGCTAAGTATTTGCATCAAAATGGTAGTATACTTTGGGATTTAGACATCTTTAATGTTGACTTCATTAATGAAGTGACACCTCAAAACTAAGTATAAAGAGGTCAACAGATGCAATTCAAAACTGGCCATGGCTGCATATTCGTTTCCTTCTGTTGAACACGCCAAAATTGGATGAATTGGATACATAAAC